GGAAGAGAGGGAGTGTGGGGTGTTAGCACAATACTCGGAGGACTAGAAGTTGGAACTCTTTCTCTGTCGCTGCATGAAGTAACATTACTAAAATCCATAAAATGAGATAAAAAATGGAGAATATTATGAACAGTAATTATTTCAACTATGTATCGTTTGCAAGCTTTTCTTCCAGGCATAAGAATCTAAAATGAAAATGAATGAATTTAGCAGAACAAGACAGCAGAAAACTACAATATCGCTGAGCTTAGGATATATAAATCCCAGCATATCAGTACAACACAGTGCATAAACTATAAAAATCACAGAATAAGCGTGGATAATTCATGGTCAATGAATAGTATCTTCGAAAAAAACCAATGAATGTGGAATAATAAAATATATGCAGGTATCATGTTTCAAACCCCCTCCCCCTGCCAAAAAAAAATCTGCAACAAATAGAACTTCGAAAATAATGGATACGGGAAACAAAAACATTTTAAAATAAAGATGCTACCAGTTTAATCAGCTGAGACCCCGAAAAAATGAGGGAAAAGCATGAATAGAAGTAGAAAGCAAAACACAAGTGGCAAGGAAGAATCTGAAATAGGGGCAGTATAGAGTTGTAACAGCAATACAATCAGGTCATGATGGGAGAGACGACAGCTTACGGTTATAGAGATCAGAGACGACGATCTCCCAGCACGGCAGAGCGCCGAAGAAGATAGGCCATGTGATCCAGGTGTGCATTTTCCAGCTAGGGTTGCCTGTCCGAGGGTTATCTAGACAGGCCCGTGGATTTGCCCCCTTCACCAAACAAAAACGAAACTGCATCATTTTGTAATTTTCATTACGCCAGCTAAACCTTAAAATTAAACATAAACAAAAAAACCTATCAAATGACCCCACTTTCTTTCTCGTCAACTCCGTCCTAAACTTCAGACCAAAACACACTCCATCTTAGAACGAAAGAAATTCTGGACCAGAATACGACGCCATCTACAACGCTTACAATAAAAACATAAAACTTTTATGATATTAAATATAAATTAATTCTGATATAACATTAATGATATTATAATGAAAAAATAATAAATTAAATAAATATTTTGTTATGAAAATAAAATCATTAAAAATAGTGATATATAATATTTTATTTAATTGAATTAGTGTAATTTTATTGAATAGATTATGAATAATGATATATCATTTCTCCTTCAACTGCGCATTCTTTGTTGTTTTATTATTCATACGAGTTCCGCTCAAGAATACTTTTGCTAAATATACAATGAAAAAAATTCTTGCATGAATCGTTCAATACAAACATAATATTCAAATGATTATAAATATAAATTAATTATGTCATTAATAATGATAAGAAAAAAGAAAAGACAGAAAATCAAAGGGCAATCTATTATAATAATAATAATAATAATAATAATAATAATAATAATAATATATTCCCTTCATTAAAAAATATAAGATATTTTTAATCAAATTTCATCTTTCAATAAAGCAATTATCTACTTTTCAACTAATCTAATCTTTTCATATTTACCCCTATTGAACACCCTATAATAAATATAAAGTCATTGTCAATAAGGACACTTTTGAAAAAAAAAACAATAATTACACCTCAAAAAATTAAAAATACCTTACATTTTTAAACATTCAATCCTTCAAAAAAATATCTTATATTTTTTAATAAAATGAATAATATTTTATTTAATTGAATTGGTTTAATAAATATAAAGTTATTGTCAATAAGGACACTTTTAAAAAAAAGGTAATGATTATACCTCGAAATATTAAAAATATCTTACATTTTTAAACATTCAACCCTTCAAAAAATACTTTATATTTTTTAATGAAATGAATAATATTTTATTTAATTGAATTGGTTTAATTTTATTAAATAGAGTATGCATGACATGATGCATAGTCCATCCAAACATTTCTCATATACAGTATCAACTTTTTTTTTTTTAATCAATTGCGTTACTTTTCCGTCAGACCAGTGATAATGATATTAACTATCAATATTCGAAATTTAGTTTTGAAAACTTGATTACTAAAAATAAAATTTGAAGAGAAAAATTTATAATTGAGATTGAAAGCCAAAAATTTCATTATCTTAATACATTATAAACAGTAACTTTGATTTGTTTATATGGTTATTTAGATGATAATAATTGAAATATACTCCCTTCATTAAAAAATATAAGACATTTTTAATTGAATCTCACCTCTCAATAAAGTGGTTACCTACTTTTAAATTAACCCTATTTTTTTATATTTATCCTTATTAAATACCCTATAATAAATATAAAATCACTATCAATAGAGATACTTTTAAAAAAAAAAGAATAATTACATTTCAAAAAACTAAAAGTACCTTATATTTTTTTAGCATCAAACTTAGACATTTTTTTAATGGAGGAAGTATGAGATTTATATATTTTTGCCAACATAGGATTTAAATATTTTATTTGCACCTGAAATTTTCGTATTCATGATTATTTAAATTGGTACATGCAAGTATTTTTAATTAAAAAATTAATTGTTGATAAATTAAGTTTGAGATTTAAATGTCATTGTTTTGTTTTAACCTTTTAAACGTTATTAAAAAAAATGGACACCACCCAATTTTTTTAAGTGTACTAGTGAAATAGATGTTATTTCGTTAACGAAAATAAATTCTAGATATACTATACTGCTTGATTGCAAAAACTGCACAATGTTCCTACACTATAAATCTTGTTTTTCTTTTTTCCTTTTCAATTAAAAACGAGGCCAGAGCCAAACTATAAATCTTGCGATTTTCCCTCAGTAGTAATTGCTATTATACTAGAAGTGCCACTAGTTTGCATTGTTTTCAATCAAAAATGTTAAATTAAATTAACTAACTGTTGGGGCTGGGAGAGCATTTGAAACGGAGAACATTTTTATGCAAAATTTTAAAATATGCAAAATTTTAATATCGAAAATACTATAACGTTATGCGTTTTCTTCACTGGAAAACATTTTTAAGATGACTCTCTTTAAGAAAAAAGATTCTTTTTTTTTTCACGAAGAGAGAAAAACTAAAACAAACCGGCTCTTATTTATCTAACCCACCTCCTATCCAGCAACAAGCGTTTCGCAATGCCAACAAATACAGTTCACACGTGAAAACTTTCCATTTCTGGATAAGAAAATAACATAACGCCATATCAATTACCATGAATCAATAATATGCCCAAGCAACGCTATCCCCAGTCATTTGCAAAAGAGAGGCCCGTGGTTCCGACCCGAAGCAAACGGCACTTGCCCGATTTCCCTTCGCACATCCAAGACCCAAGGTCCACAACCCTCCAAATTCATTCATTGTATTTTAGTTTCATAAGAGTTATGACACTATCGTTATATGGCCCAACCTGTCACAAAGGTAGGCCGGCCCATTGGACGCTGCAGTTCATTTGGATCCAGCAAATATTTTGCCGTTAATCCACTTGTATTTAATGCCTGCTGTGTTTATTTACTGTAAATTCATTAAAGTCCTTCACGCCTCCGGATTCCGCACCAAAAGGCACCAGCAAATTCCGGTCGTGCGACAGCCACAACACTCACCGGCTGCCCCGGTCAAGGAACCCTGATTCAACATCAATTCTCCGTCCGAGTACATCCAAACTAAATGTGTTTCAATTATACATGCATTTTTGTATAAATTGTTCCTATTTTGCACCTCAAATGGCTGTAGAAAAATTTAGAACTTTAAAAATCCATGGTCCTTAAAATATGATCGATATTTTTATAGGTCTTCAAGTGTCAACTTTCTTAGATAGTATTTGATGTCTAACACTATATATGGGGTTGGTGCTGAGCACTTTTCTGTCTCCAGATATGTTATTTTCCTTCTGGAATTGCTATCCTTTCAGCGTACTTATATTTTTTGGAATCGTTGCAGGTATAAAAATTTATCTTGTTATTCAAACAAGTAAATGACGTTTTCAACTGAAATCAAGATACATTATAAAGAAGGCGAACCCAAAGAAAAGGGGCGAGCAAAATGCTAACTAACTAGGATTTCATTTTCAAAATTTTGTTGATTTGTTTGGTTCTCTCATGGATTATGCGGGGAAGCCAAAATCCTGAAGGCTAAAATTTATTTTGTTTGTTCAAAGCACGATACGTGGCTTGGTTAATGGGGAGAGTAGATTGCTATGGCATTGATTGTTTCATCTTAGAGGCTAAGAGAACGAGAGGTGAAGGCTACTCATTCTATTTCTAACACGCTTTGGCATCCACCGGGGATGCTGATTAGTTCAAGCGGAGGATACTATTACTTGCTTTATACCCAACAATTTTAATTCGATGCAATGCATACTGCTGCTAGTGCAAAAAGCGTCTACCAGGAATACGACGGCTAGTGCGTAACGTACTATGCACTAAAACTTTCAGGGGTCTGGTGATCTACCAATGCAGCGCGCCGATATATTCTCTTAACGACGAGCCTTCCTTTGTGGTCTCCTTGACGATCGATCAGAGTCTTTTACTATCAAATAGAACCGCAACTCGAGAGAGAATAATAAAATAAGCGAAGAGGTGTCCACATCAAGGTTTTCTATCCCTTCATATAATGTTGAAAGCCTTGGCTAAGTGGAGTTTCCTCCTCCTGCTCCTCTTTTTTTTTTTTTTTCACTCTCTACTTTGTCAGATAAATTGCCTCCTACTTGCCAGTCTCAGCATTGTTCAGTGAATTCAATCCGTATATGTATTGGGTAGCGTGAAATATGAGAAGACGTACGGCATTACAAGAAACTTAAAAGTGGTTGAACTGCTCTTCCTATTTATACTCATGCCCTTATCGGGGTTTCAGTTTTCACCCCAAGACCCTGCGAATTAAAAACATTCTCCGAGAATGATATCAGTGTATGCCGGAATAGGGAAAACCAGAAAGTTCCCATAACAATTGTTCCCGCGGGGAAAGCGAGACTGAATTAAACCTCCTGCATTGTGCCTCTGTGAAATCAATACATGTGTTCACTTCAGAAGATCGGATGAGGGCGGTTTTATTCACTTTTCCCCCCGTTCACTCCGTCGACGCTGAACACGCCAACGAAAGCTGTGCTCAGATCAAACTAAAATAATTCATGTACAATACATAATGAGGCAGACCAGAGGCAGACCCAGCAGGGCTAACTCAATGGAAATTGAAACGAGCTAGGCAGTCCCCACATTGAGCTATTAATATGTGCAAAAAGAAATGAAAAGGTATCTTACAAAGTATGATGGATCGCCGGCGATGATATTCTCATCTACAAGTCTCCTAGCTACCAAAGTCAGCAAAAAGAAATTGCATCTACAAGCAGTACAATCTTCTACTCTTCTTTCAACATATGTGAAGGAACAATATCTTCAAGAAGTCCGTGGTCTCTCAGAAAAGTTGCAGTGGCTCCAGAATTACAAAATTTTCCGTCCTCAGCAAAAGCTAATGCAGCGTTCTTTGAAGTGAAATCAGCATTGCTATTGATGGGGAAGCTCCAGGACGATAATGTATTATTATTGAGAAGTTGTCGTTGCTGAGGGTGATGATACTGGGATAGTAGGTTTCCTGCCATCAGCGAACCGAAGGAAGTGGCACAATAACCGGCGGAGACACCAGCCGGAAGTGAAGCTTCCACTCCGACGATGTTCGAGCGAGGCATAACTGGGCTTGGATGGGTGTGTTGACCTTCATAAGTTGTTACTACAATGCTTGGATCGCTGAAAGATCGCTCAACTCGTTTCTTCACATTACATGAAGCGCTGGTGCAACGATAATAGCTCCTGCAATATTATATATCGACAAGACCACTTATAGTTTTCTCGTTTAAAATAAATCCTATCCTCGTAAAGTCAAACCAGGAAGGAAGCATATGATTGCACAGCAGGTGGATTCAGAATAAGATAAGAGTTACCTTGGAAAGGGGCTGTTTTTCACAGCTTTTTGACCGTACTTTCTCCATCTGTACCCATCTTCCAGATGATCCACCTCGCTCTTCGTCATGAACGCGAATCTCGGCTCTCTCTGTCTCTTCTGATTTGTCTTCTTGGCTTTCAATCTGAGCCCAATCAAAAACCACACCCCACAACATTTAAGAATCGTCGTTAGCTAAAATCGTATATCATCAAAAAAAGCACCCTTCTCATTTCCTAATCAGATTGAGAAAAATGTTCTCTGCCACCATCAATGGTAAACAACAAACCAATACAAGTGCTTGAAACTAAAACAACCAAAATTATATTTTCCCATGAACCATGACTCCTAATGGGATTAAAGTCACGGAAAAACACCTGAACTGGACCTCAAATTCAAAAAGAAAAAGAAATTAGGCGAAAATACCAAAATAAGAGTATAGACCACTAACAACTCATATCGAGAGTTGTTCGTATCGCAAAATGGGTTCCGGCACCAAAAACAAAAAAAAAAACAAAACAAAATAAAAGACGGAAGTGAAAAAGTAAGATGGTAGAGAACCCACTGTTTCTTGGTCTTGGAGTGCTCTTCAGCTTGGTCTGCAGTTCTACTGTGTTCGTCATTGACAGTCACGGCCCCACTGGACGCCGACGAGATCGACGAAGAGTTGGGGGTCGCAGGTTGCTGATTGGAGACCTCGGAACACTCTTTGGCCGTATCAGACAGATCTTTCAGAGCAGAGGGGTCGATAGTTGACACATGCTGCGGTGACGGCAAATGAAGCAGAGGACTATAGTCTTGGAGACCCAGCAACTCCATAAACCCAAGAGAGCTCTTTTCCACTTCAGAGAATTCAGAAGCATTCGATAATGGATAACCGTTGTAACCCGACAATGAAGAGGATCCCTTCGCATCTTCCGTCGTCAAACCCATCTCCTTCTCCATCTACTCGATCGTATAGCCACCTCACTAAGCTGTCAGCCCGATAAATCACAGACTCAACTTCTCCATTTCGCACTGTCAAAGAGTTAGAGGTGAAGTAGGGTAGGGTTGATCTGGTTTATAGAGAGAGAAAAAGGGGAGATTGAGCGAGCAAGAGAGAGAGAGCGTGTGCGGGTGTGAATGTGATTTTTTCGGGGACACAAGAAGGCGAAAGGCGTGGAAAGGAGGCAGTATGTGCTAATGGAAAGGAGGCTTAGGAAGCAAGCACAAGATTTGACCGGTAATCGGAGGTCATCGGGGGTACGGACAACACTGAGCCGGTGGCATTCAATGCATGAGGGTGTCGTGCCATGTTCCCATATCTGCCTCTCTGGTCGACGCTTTCATACGAGAGTTTGACCGCTTAACCAGTTTCGGGGAGCGCTGTGTGAACGGGTCTCCGCCAGACACTCCCCGTTTTGGTTTCAAATGGCGTTATATAATGAAATTCTACCCGTCCCTTGTACAAGAATTATTTTTAATCGAATTATATAAATTAATAAAAATTAATTATCTAATTAAATTTATAATAAATTTATAATTTTATTTTTAATTATTATAAATAAAAAATAAATTTTTTAAGTAAATTAATAAAAATATTTTTTTAATTAGTAAAGATATAATGATTCATTCATTAAAAAAAATATGTTAAGAATCTTTTATATTTAAAGATAAAAAAAAGTTTTAGAATATATTTATTACATTATACAATCTCATGATCATTCCCATTATGATTGTCTTCCCCCGTGCGCATGTGAACGAGCAAGTCGATTTAGCACCTTTTTTAAAAAAAAAAAATCTGGTTACTTTTTCAGAATTTGCGTTTTCCGTCTTTTCTCTCTCAGCGTAACATTTTCAGCGCGCATATATGTGATCTTTTAGTATGCGCTCAAGCTGGCCTTACGCATCAGAACAAGCCCGAATAAGTTGGGGGGGGGGGGGGGCGAGAGGCGTGCGAGTTACACCGGCCTATAGGGAAAATTCGTTTTAACATGATGAAATAATCAAATTGTGGACTCCGTCCTTGCAAGGGCCCACCGCCCCGGAGTGAGTGACGATCCATTTTAATTAAAGAGAACAGAGAGCATGATGAAGGAGTGATTCTTTTTGGGTAAAACTGGGAATTACACCAAACGAGGGTTCACGAGAAAAGGAGAGATGATGAGGTCCCATATGCATAAGTACGAGAATATTGGAAGCGAAGTCCGAGTTCAATGCTACGAAGAATGGATATAGGCTTTTAGTTGGAAAACCGACCATATCCGAAGCAGTGAATAAAAGATTCGAAACCAGGGCCATCAGTATCGCTTTGTACCCTTTAACCAAAGCCCGCTTTTTCTTTTTCTGGTAAACCAAAAGCCCCACCACGAGTTTCATTTTCACACACGAGCATGACAGAAAGAGAGATCGCAGATGGAATTGGAAAAGGATGAAGGGAAACAAGAGAGGTAGATACGTGGGAGGTCTTTGGGCAAATTATGCTGTGAGCGCGCGAGCGAGGAGGAGGAGGAGGAAACTGGGAAAACCGATGACTTGATGCACGTGTGGTTTCAAGAGAGCCACGAGGCGCACGATGGCATAATTTTCGTGTACACAACAACTACATGTACATGGCACCTCGAGGCATGGTTGAATATTATTCTGCTCCCTTCTTTTTCCAGTAAATATAATCAATCAGTGTCTTTTAAATTTGACGTGGAATTCATTTTAGGGTGTATAATCAATCACACAGTGGAAACCCTTTTCAACATATTCCAAGCTGCATTGTTTCGGGATGAAAGAGGGAATTTGGGACAAGGAATAGGGGGTGTGGTGGGCGAAGGCTGGTTTTGGAGGACGTGGAACCTGACGACACATGCCCATGCGTATCTCTTTTTCGTCCCCGGCTGCTTCCGTTTCACAACACACCATGGGACCCCCATGCATGTTGTTTCATTCTGCTTCGCTCTTCTATGTGCCGCGGCTGCTATCAAATCAAACTCGTTGTTTCTCTCCATGTTTTCAATATCAGGTTATTCAACATCGGATAAACTTCTCATTCATCCACATAGAGTGTTGTAGTTTCGAAATTAAAGCCAACGAAAGAAACAAGTTGTTAGAAAGACAACTTTACGTTAACCATTTTTGTTAATACTTTACGTTAACCTGAACTCACCAAAACGCGGATAGCATTAATTGCGGTAAATGGATGGGAAATTTTGCTGTGGATTGATGCAGTGGACTTCATTTTGATTTGAGGATTACCCCTATTAATTTATAAATAAAACTAAAAAAGTAATTTAAGTCTTGAACAGGTGATTGAGTGTCTCAAAATACAAGTTAATTCGATAAAAATATAATTTTATTAAATATTTTTTTAATATTATTCTTTCTTTTTATTATATTTTTTCTATCTTTCTTTTATGTTTCACAAATAAGTTTATTTTAAATGATGGATATTTTAAAAAAATTATTTTTATTTTTTAATAAATAATATTATATAGTGTATTTAATAAATTTTATTGATGTACATAATTTTATCTAAATTATCTTATAAACTGTGACAGATGTTTTTTTTTTTACACACTTATACGGTATTTCAGAGGTTCAATGCATATTTATTAATATTTATTATACCTTTGTGGATAATTGAAAATATTTTAATTTGAAGCATTGAATTAAGGATGAATTTTATAATGTGATCCGTGTTTAAATCTTTAAAAGCTTTACATTTTGATCAAGCCCACCTTGTCGTTATAAGGTGGTGAGTGATTAGAAGATCTAGAGAATAATGTTTTATTCAACCAAAAAAAAAAACGGGGGAAAGAGAGCACAATATTAGATTAAATCAATTAACTAAATTATGGAGATAAAAAAACGTGGAAAAAGGCAACGGGCATGGGGCCTGTCAAATTTCTCAGTTCTTGAGGCGCCATCGTTGAGCGGGGACGCTATTCAATGGCGCGCACGTGTACGCAAGCTCAGTGTCGGCTCAGCCTGTCCGCGTTGAGCACTGCGCGCACAAGGTTTGCATTCACATTTCACAGAGACTCTATTGAAGCGTTAAACCTCCTTCCTTATCTAAAACATTGGAAGAGCCGGACAAGCAGCATGATTTTCTAAAATATTTTGGGTTGTTTGTTTACAGTAAAAGTAATTTCCGAACAGCAAGCTAAATATTTCCCCCGCTGTCTGACCCCAGAGATTCGAAATGAACCAATAAAAGCCACTGAGATTAACTCAAGGGGCAGAGGCGTGGGGTATCGATTATGATTTAAATTCAAGTCCTCTGATCGACTATAATCAAAATAAACGGACCGAGAAAACAATTCTTGGCAACTTGATCGACATGTAGTAACTTACCAGAAGAGGTGGAATGCTTCATGCTTCCGTGATTAAAGAATCGAGACGCATGATTAACATTGTTTGAAAGGTAGGAAATTTCCTAGTCCCTGTTTCTATGTATAAGACAAAATTTTAGAGGGCGATTTATTTTATTTATTTATAAACAAGTCATGACAGATGAGGAGTATTTTAAATTTTTTTCCCGTGTCCCTATTAAGTGTGTGAAACGACTTGCTATAAATCATGCACTTTCCTGTTAGCAAATAGAGTAGGCATTAGATAATAGCAAAGTTAGAAAAACATAAACAAGTTTAATGCACGAATTAGTTTAATTTAGTCAATACTGGTATGTGAGATTTAGACAGTTTTATCTCACGAATATAGACAATAGGAAGAAGCATATTAAGTACCAAGTAATACTCCATCTCTTAAAAATATAAGATATTTTTTTAGGTTAGATGTTAAAAAATATTCCCACCATCCCAGATTTTACGGCACTTTTAAAGGAATTTATTCGTCCCAAAATATAAGACACTTAAGATAAATTAAGGTTTTATTAAATACATTAATTCTAATATTAGCATTTCTCTCTCTCTCTCCATGCGCTAATTTATGTCCCTTCTTTTTTTAATATATTAAATGATCAATATTTTTAAAAAATTATATTTTTATTTCAAAAATATAAGACTATTGAGTATATTTAATGATGTTTATTGGTATATAACATTTTGTTATAATAAAGCATTTTTAGTTTTTATTGTGTAATTGATGTTTTTCTACAAATATTTTTAATAAATAAACCACTCAGCTCCTTACTTTTAAGTTGGATATCTTATTAAATAGAAGTAAATATGAAAAGACGATGTAAGTTTAAAAATAATTAACTAACTTATTAAAGAACGTATCAATTAAAAATATTTTGTATTTTTCAATAAATGAAGCGTGAGAGATGGACATTGCAAATGCAAAAAAATCACAAAGCAATTACAAAACAAATAAATTTAAAATGTGATACTAATATTAATAATAAAAAGAAAAATAAAAAACAATGACCTCAATAGTAAATTAATACTATTAGTCAATGAGAAATTGGCTTTAAAATTACAATACAATCTAATACTAAATTGCCCTTTAAGTAAGAAGACAAAAAAAAACCCACCTCCTCACTATTGTCAATGCCAGCTACAAGATTGTAATCAAGCCATTAGAGTTCTAATGCTGGTGACATTTATTTTAATAAATATTTAGTTTAAGTGATCAAGGGAGGATTTGATCTCAACCTCTAATCATATATGGCAAAAATAACATAGTAGTAAACCAAGCTTATAACCACTTATATATTATAATATAATGGTGTGTTGTTAATTCATTAACTGCACTTGTTATTTTATTAATATTACTTGTTAATTCGATGTGGATAATAATAAAGTGTGAGTTTTAAAACTTCATACATTTTACTTGTTAAAAGTTTTAATGTATTGCTGTTAGTAACTAATGAATTGTTGTCAAAATTCAAACAGATATTTATTGATAAAAGACTAACTCTTATAAAATTAAGTTCATCCTATATGTTTTTCTAAACTGTTAAGGCCAAAATGGGCTATTATTAATTTAGATCAAGTTGTTGTTAAAATTCTATTTTTTAAACTTATTAAATCTTGAAAGAAACATTATTAATTTATAATGAATATTATTGAAACTCAAATGGATACTTATTGGTGAAAGACTAACATGTATAATTAAACCTATTTTATCCATTTTTCTAACATGTTGAGGCCCAAATGGACTGTTGTTAATTTAAAATAAATTGTTGCTAAAACTTAAATGTATACATATTGATGAAAGACTGACATATACAATTATGCTCGCTTTATATGTCTTTTTAGCTTATTAAGGCTCAAATGGAATTTCATAGGATAAGTATAATTGTATGTGTTAATCTTTTGTCAGCAAATATCTATTTAATTTTTAACAACAAGCC